ATAAAATTCTATATCATTAATGGTTTAAAATGTATTTGACATTTTATTACCATTAAATACTTATACTTTATCTATAAAATGTATATTTTAATTTTAATCATTATTTTAGAAATAATAATTTTTCTATTAAATTCATCAATTTCTGCAGTAAAAAATAATTTAACTTATGCAAAAGTCAATTATACTATTTTTGTATAGAGGAATCAATGATTGTAAAAACATGAGTTTCAATGATCATTTTATAGAGCTATGTTCTAGTCATGTGTTTCTGCTAAGCTCATAAATAATATAATTTATACAAATTTTACTGTAAAAATTGCAATAGATAAATGACACTAAGAAGAAAAAAAAACACCAAAGAAGAATTTCGCAAAATTAGTCAATCCTCTAAATGTTAATGGGCTACCCCTTTGTTGTATACCTAATAATAAACACCTTGAAAATAAAAAATTTGAGGTAGAACGAATATACGCACAATAAATTGATAAAAAAAAGCATAAATTACTAAAACCATGAAGTTTTTGTTTAAATATTGTAAATAATATATCTATATTCTAAGATTATCACTGTAATCAGAGATGTATGAAATTAACTCATTACCACCAAAGGCGTAAAGCATTTGAGTAAATGTATTTGAATAAAAGTATTCAAATACTTTCATTGGTATTGAATAGTATTTTTAAATACATTTAATAAAAAGTATCTGAGTAGTATTTTAAATACAATTATTTAGTATTTAATACTGTTTAATATTCAGTACTATTAATATACTTTTTTTTTTTTAATTTGCTAACCGTAACACAGCAAGCAAATTAAACTCAGTCAAAATGAAAATTGAGAATAATTCTCTGTTATTTTATATGTTACATTATAGTATAACATAATTATTGTGCTTATCTAAATGCTATTATGTATACATCTATTTTTAATACATCAGTTGAACCTACAATAGCCTATTGCAGGTTCAAATGATTTACTCTATTGTCAATAAGACATACTTTACAGGTTTTTACACGTGTACTAATATTTATTTTTTTCACTGATTAGTCTCCAATAATTAATTTTATTTACCTCTAACAAAAAATATCGAAAATAATAAATGAGTTCTCTTAATTTAAGAGTACTCAATATTTGACTCAAATTACCCTCTTGGTAATTATTTAGGTGGAACCTTTTGCTCTTAGTTAAAATAAAAACATTATTATTATTTTTTAATTGTATTCTTAGTATTTGAAATACTTTTGTAAAGTAATTGAGTATTACTCAAATACTTTTGTATGAAAAGTATTCAAATAGTATTTTAAATACATTTTTTTTTAAATATTTGAATATTATTTAAAATACTTTTTAAAAGTATTTTTTACAACTATGATAACAACCTTATGAAGGAAAGAATCGCTGGTTTGTGAAAACACGTAGTAAGGATTAATGTTAATCACGTACTTACAGAATGTAGAAAACATGCTGAAGAACGGTAAAAACTCGAATCTATCAATACATCTGAAAACAATTTTAGGGTCTGATCCAGAAGACAATACAAATCTGGTCGAACAGATCTAACTGACAACTTATTTTATCTGTACACCCTGCTTATGTTGTATTTTTTATACTTTGTCAAAGAATTGTGTGTTATTTTTTAATTTTTAGATCATATATGATCTACATAAAATTGTATACTTTTTTTAATCAATTTTCATACTATATTTAAAATAATTTTAAAGTTATTTTTCGCAAATACAAAAAATATTTTGAAAATCAAGTTTTTTAAGATTTTATAATATCAATTGTAAAGAAAATGTTGAAAGTTTTACTTCAAATCAGAGGTTTGCACCTCTGGGATATTTTTCTGTGTGCGTCCTTAAGTATATTAATTATATAAAGAACTTTTTTCCATAATTTTTCAAATGTTCCTTATGACTACTAAAAAAAAAACAAGAATTTAGTAGTACATTTATATTCTGAGAAAATCCAATTTAAAACATGTATTTTTCGTTGAATTAAATGAATATTATTAACGTTCAATTATAAAGTTAAATCCAATCGTAAATCGCCGCTTTGTTTTTAATTGTTATAAGGTTAACATGTTACTCTTAAAATCATAAATTATATTTTAGGTCATCTAGAAGTAATATTTTCAAGAATATGTTCAATAATATATAAGTCACTTCGAGAAAAAACTAAAGTCTTTCAATACACTTATCTACCATTATTATTTGCAAAATATTATAAATTAAAATTAAGATTTATATGTTAGGGTTCCTTGCAAATCTAATTTTTGGCAGAATTGTTTTTAATATCAACTAATACATTTGTCACGCTTAGCCAAAACATTTTCACGCCTATAACGTCTATATTATATGTTTAAAATTAAGAATTAAAATGTAGAATAATGAAATAATAGAATTTAATTTAAAAGCTTAGTATTGCTGTGTATACTAAAAGAGTGGTTAGGCACCAACATTCATTATTAAGGTCAACGAGATAAGGTTATTAGGACATTAGATAAATTTCCTCTGTTCTATAATACAACAAGCGAGATTGAATTTTGTTAAAGGGAGCAATGCTGTTGTTTAGAGTACTAAATGCAGAGTTTGTAAAAATAAAGCTCACCAAAATATATATTTGGAAAAAAATTCAATTTTTTATTCATTTTTGTCTGTTAATATACAAATATTTTAGTTATCCTATAAAAATAATACCTAATGTCATGGCGGTTTTTTATGCTTTAAAACCAAGTTTTGTCAATCCTGGTCAGTGGCGTACACAGCAATTAAATTTGGGGTGGGGAGTTTGAAATTTAAAGAAAATCAGATGTGACACTGCCCATATTATTTGCTCACGAAAATTCCTGTTTTCGATTACTTATTGTGGAAATATTTATACTATGATCTTTTTTATTGTTATTACTTATTGTTTATCGTCTAACATTGTCGCCTAGTTTATAATTTTTTTTTTTTGGTGGGGGGTCAACCCCCCACCATGTGTACACCAGTGATCCTGGTTAAATGATTAATTTCTAAACTAATTGGATCCAGATCCAATTCGGTAATATTCGGAAATCTGGTTTCTTTTTCTTATCAGTATTTTGAGTAATTTATAATAAAGTTCAAATTAAATTTCTTTTGGTATGATATATTTTATTATAAAGTAAATAATCAAAAACATAAAACTACAATTTATATTAAGTTAAAATTTTTTTGAGTATAGTATATGCCAGCACGTTTTAATTCGTTGAACTTATGTTGTTCTTGTTTATACTAGCGATGATCTTAAATAGTGATAGGCACTATAGAATATATTTGACTACCGGATATATTCGATAGTCTTTTATAAACTATCGAACTACCGGATACAAACTATTTTATATTGTACTCTATAGTTTGATAACCAAAAATATTAAATCATGCAAATTTGCATTCAAATATGATATTTATCGTTTTATTTAGTTATTTTAACCGTATATGCTGAATTGTAAGAACAGTTATAGAAATGAATGTTGAAGGAAGAAGAGGTAGAGGAAGACCAAAAAATAGATGGAGGAATGCTATTGAATGCGATTTGAGAACAGCTGATGTGAGCATAAATGATGTGGGAGATCGTGTCAAATGGAAGTTTAGGATAAGGGTGGCCGACCCCAAGTAAGAGGAAGAAGAACCATTATATGCTGAATTGTTGATAATAAATACTATCGTAAAACATTCGTTTCTGCCGATAGTTTTAGACTATCGGTAGTATTCACTCAGTAGTGCTCATCATTAGTTTAAACTTAGTTTTATCTTATAAGACAAAAATATTGATGTGAAGTTTGGAGAATAGAATGATCGTGTACAATATTTACAGTTCGGATAATCAAAGTTCTACTGTAAATAAAAAAAAGTAACCAAAAGAACAAAGTTTCTTTGTAATTAAATTATTTTTTTATTATAAAAGTAATATAACTCCAATACTTGATATTTCAAGTAGTTTAATTTCTAATCTATTGAGTAATTTATAATTTAATAACAAAAAAAAAGTAATTTTCTCAACACGTTCATAATAAATTTTAATCATCTTGCCTTTGCCACATTTTTTTTAAATTAAAATGAAATTCAGCGTTTGGAACATTCATTGAAAAATTAACACGTTAATTAGAATATTTTTAAATGTTTACTTCCAGTATATATATAATTGCCATTACCATAAACGAATCAATTAAAATTTTTATAAAAATAATATAAAAGTCATATTTTTAGTGGCGTGAAGGGGTTAGTTATAGAAGGGTACATAAATAAAAACTTACTAAAATTTACTAGGTATATAAGTAGTGTATCTATTATACAAATTCATATTTTTCAAATTATAGTCATTTATTTCTTTCGGCAGTATCAATAGTAGAGTGTGCCTGTTAACTTCGATGCTGAGAAGGTATTAATTTTACTATAATGTGTATTTTTTGTGTCTGTGAACGCTCAATCTCAGATCTCGCTAGACCAATTTTGATGAACAATACGTCAAAAGATCACATATCGTATCTAGTCGAAAATTGAAAAAAATTTCCTCGTTCCTCGTAAACGGGGGTAATCCCCAAAAATATTACAAATTTAAAAATTCCTAATTTTCGACATTTTTTTCAATTTTTTTGACTTAAAATTACCATAACTTTAATAAAAATAACCAAATCAATATAATTTTTTTTATAGATATTTTAGGTATTTACCTATCATTTGATATATTTTTGTGAACATTTGACCATTTACCAGCCCACAGGAAAGGTTTCATAATGGCAACTTTTTCAACTTAACTTTTGAAAATGTTTCGAAAATACTGACACTTTTATATATACCTTAAATTAAAGCTTATGTAATATACTTTACTTAAAACAAAAAAAATTTTACCTCTGGACTTGTCTCCATAGTTTTTACTATGAACATCAAGGTTAAAGAAAAACGAACGATTTCCGTGAAAATATTCTCGGTTTTATAATTTTAAATTTATATTGCTATAACTTTTGGGAAAAAAGTATGGATCAATATTATTATTTTTTTATAAACAATTTTTATATACGTCTTTCATCTGACACATTTTTTTTTTAAATAGAATCATATCCCTTTGTCTATATGGTGAAAAAATGACTATCATATTTAAAAATATGCTATTTTTTTGTTAAAATTCGATACAAAGCTGAGAGGGTATTTTTTTGTAATTATCATTTATTTTCTCTGCTTTAACTGGACCAATTTTTTTCAACGATACGTCAAATGATTACAATTCGTATCTAGTTGAAGATATTACCCTCAAAAATGGAAACAAAATTCTAATTTATCAATTAAATAGTTACTTATCCCATATTCTCCATACAGACAATTAAAATCATTCATTTATAATGTTTTCAAAGTATTTATTGACGAATCAAGTTTGATATGATAGGTTTCAACTACAAAATTAAATAATTTTACTTAGTAATTTAATAATTTTTTTATTCTATTTGTGTGTGCTACTACTAGACTATAATATTCCAAATAAATTTATTTACTATAATTATTATTTATTCATATATTTTAATTATAAATTAAATAACTAATCGGGATAAAATTAAGGGAATAAGGGTTATTTTTGATTTTGAAATAATCTACCAATTTCTTAAAATTAAACACTATCCATAGATTTGCATCGAAGTGTTTCTTATGTGATATTAATCACTGTCAGATATTATCTATACTTGTGCCAACTATGCCACGACCCCACTGTGCTACCGTTTTTTTAATTGTATTTGTGTGTGCTACTACCAGTCTATAATATTTCAAATTTTTTAGTAACATGATGCTATTATAAAGGATTTCTAATAAATTTTTTTTGAATATACACAAAGCGATTTCACCACAACTGCAATTTCTCATTAGATACTGAGTAATTTTTAACTAGTTGCAGCAGGTAAACAATGCATTAATACTTAGCATGTTTTTAACACGATTACGTTTTAAACGTCAATAATATGAAATATTTATTTTCATTTTCATTATGCCAATTCGACATTAGTTCGTAGTGATCATATTATTCTTAATTATGCGTGAATGGCCTAAAATTGTTCAAATTCATTAAAAATGTGAATTTCGTTTCATAATTTTCTAACTAAGTTAAAATAATATTACACAACTTGACTTTACATGATATTCCTCATACAAAAATCGAACCAAATTATTTTTGACAGTAAATTGGAAGCATTGTTACATTTCATTGAATTTTTGTCTACTTCTAAAAGTATATTTGGTGTACAATTCATATTTGTCTCACGACTTGTGAGACCCATGAATGCAACTTGTGAGGGTGTTGCAGCACCCTAAAATAAACAATTTTAAACATCTTTGTGGTTATTTTTATAATTAAATATGTACGGCAATAAGGCGAAATAAAAAATTATATTAATATAAGTTTATTAGAAAACAATTTNGCAATAAGGCGAAATAAAAAATTATATTAATATAAGTTTATTAGAAAACAATTTTTTGTTATGTAAGTGGTTGAATGGGTCCGATGATATGGGCAATTGTCCCCGAGATATATTTCTTTATTGTCTATAATATTTTTTAAGGGGCTATTTTTAACCTATCTTAATATCTTCACCTAGGTGAAGTCTCAAATAAGCCTTTGTCTGGTCAGTAATTATTTAAGAAATGTTACTCAGGGGTGTTTGGGCTCCCCCCCATGGGTTTGTGAGCATAATATAATCTCAGCACTCCCAGAATTTTTGCCTTGTTGCGCCTGTGAACACACCCATTAATATCTGCTTCACTAATCTACTTTTAGTATAATTGTCCGTGGCTTAAAGAATATTTATTTAAAACCAGTCATTTACCCACATAATTTTGAGTAAGAAAACCTCCTTATAGTTTTACTACAAATAAAAAATCTGTATTGTGGAAAACATATTTTTGAAATGCTTCCAACTTAGGATTCTCACTAAATCAATAGATTATAATAAGAAAAAATAAATAAAACAATATAAAATAAAAAACTAATAATATAATTTATTGACGTTTATTAGTTTTTAGAATGACATTAG